CCCCGACGCCCCGCCCATCCACCCCGACGCCCCTCCCCATCCGCCCCGACGCCTTCTCCATCAGTCCCCGACGCCCCTCCCCATACATCCCTGACGCCCCTCCCCGTCCGCCCCGATGCCCCTCCCCATCCGCCCCGACGCCCCTCCACATCCGCCCCGACGCCCCTCCACATCCGCCCCGACGCCCCTCCCCATCCACCTCCCTCGCCTGCACCTGCGCGGGGACAGGGACTAAGAGGGTTTGGTCAGGGGCAGGGCTGTGCTGAAATAGTTCACAGTCAGAACCAGCACGTGGATCACGCCTGTGATCCCAGCACTTTGGAAGGCTGAGGTGGGAGGATCATATGAGTCCAGGAGTTCAAGACCAGCCTGGGCAACATAGTGATACCCTGTATTTACCCAAAAAAAAAAAAAATGTTTTTGGCTGGGCGTGGTGGCTCACGCCTGTAATCCCAGCACTTTGGGAGGCCAAGGTGAGTGCATCACCTGAGGACAGGAATTCAACACCAGCCTGGCCCACATGGAGAAACCCCATCTCTACTAAAAATAACAAAAATTAACTGGGTGCTATAGTAGGCACCTGGAATCCCAGCTACTCGGGACGCTGAGGCAGGAGAATTGCTTGAACCCTGGAGGCGGAGGCTGCAGCAAGCCGAGATCGCACCATTGCACCCCAGCCTGGGAGACAGAGCAAGACTCCATCTCAAAAAAAAAGGGGGGGTTTTAATTAGCTGAGCTTAGTAGCATGTGCTTGTAGTCCCAGCTACTCAGGAGGCTAAGATGGGAGGATTGCTTGAGCCCAGGAGTTCAAGACCAGCCTGGGCAACATAGCAAGACTCCATCTCCGCAAAAAAAAAAAAAATTAGCCAGGTGTGGTGTGGCACACTTGCAGTCTTAGCTACTCGGGAGATGGAGATGGCACCATCCCTTGAGCTCATGAGATCGAGGCTGCAGTGAGCCGGGATCACACCACTGCACTCCAGCCTGGACAACAGAGCAAGACTCTGTCTCATGTAAAAAACAAAAACAGCGGAATGAACTTGTGTGAAGCCCATACTGTACATCAGGCACTTTCCAGCCCAGCACAGAATGAGGCTGACAAAAACCCCTTCCTTCCAGGGAGCTCATGGTGGTTTTGGCTCCCTGTAGAGCGTTATCTGGTAACGGAAATGTTCTTCCTTGGAGCTGTCTGATACCACAGCACCAGCCCCACGTGGCTACTGCACACTTGAAATGTGGTCAGGGTGAAAAAGAACTGAATTTTTATGTAGGATGTAGGCCAGGGAGTTTTAAATGATATGAAGACAAATAAAACTGCTAAGAAAATAGAGACTGGTGAGGTTGAAGTGGGAATGTTATCCCGGGTCAGGAGGAGGTGACGTCAGAGCTGAGACCCGGGGCTGGGCGTGGTGGCTCATGCCTGTAATCCCAGCACTTTGGAAGGCTGAGGAGGGTGGGTTACTTGAGATCAGGAGTTCGAGACCAGCCTGGCCAACATGGGTGAAACCCCGTCTCTACTAAAAATACAAAAAATTAGCCAGGCGTGGTGGTGGGCACCTGTAATCCCAGCTACTCAGGAGGCTGCAGCGGGAGAATCGCTTGAACCCAGAAGGTGGAGGTTGCAGTGAGCCAAAATTGCTCCACGGCACTCCAGCCTGGGCAACAAGAGCAAAACTCTGTCTCAAAAAAACAAAAAACGAAAGCCCTTGACTTTTTTTTTTTTTTTTTTTTTGAAATGGGGTCTCAATCCATCAGCGAGATCCCAGCTTACCACCACCTCCGCCTCCCAGGCTCAAGCAATTCCCCTGCCTCAGCCTCTCGAGTAGCTGGGATTACAGGTGCCCACCACCACGCCCAGCAAATTTTTGTATTTTTAGTAGAGACAGGGTTTCGCCGTGTTGGTCAGGCTGGTCTCAAACTCCTGACCTCACGTGATTCACCTGCCTCGGCCTCCCAGAGTGCTGAGATTACAGGCATGAGCCACCACACCCAGTCATGGGGTGGAGTATTTCTGATGGACTCTGGAGAGAGACTGGAGCATAGACACTGACAGAGATGAAGAAAAAGAGACAGACAGAGCTGGGACACAAGGACAGAGAGAGAGAGAGAGAAAGACTCAAAGACAGACAGAGAAGCGGAGACCATTAGCCAGGCATGGTGGTAAGGGCCTGTGGTCCCAGCTACTCAGGAGGCTGAGGCAGGAGGATCTCTTGAGCCCAGGAGGTCGAGGCTGCTGTGCGCTGAGATTGAGCCACTACACTCCAGCCTGGGTGACAGAGTGCGATCCTGTCCTCCCTCCCCCGACAAAAAAGAAAGAAAGAAGGGTGCAGACACAGAGTCAGCTGGAGACACAGATCCTGGCTAGACAGAGAGCTTGGAAGGAGGCAGGCATCCTCCTCAAGGAAGGCGTGGAGAAGGTGGCCCTTCCAGGACCCTCAGAGGCCCCACCTCGTCTCCGTGCCAGGAGTCTCAGCAAAGCAGATCCCAAGATAAGGAGTGAGTGCCCCGTCCTCAGAGGTATACAAGTCCACAGGTATCAGAACAAAGCCAGGGCTGCTGCTGTGTGTCCTCCGCCACACACCCCCTGGGCTCTGCAAGTGTGCAAACACGCACCTGCCCGGGACCCCGTGAGCCAGGAAGCCAGGGCCACAGCGTAGGAACAAGCCGAGGATGCCTGCAGTGCCAACCATGGAGGTCCACCCCCATCTCTGCAGGCTTCGTGAGCTTTGATAACCCGGCCAGCGCCCAGACAGCCATCCAGGCCATGAACGGTTTCCAGATCGGCATGAAGAGGCTCAAAGTGCAGCTGAAGCGGCCCAAAGACCCGGGACACCCCTACTGACCGCGCCCACAGCCGCCCCGAGGCTGTGGGCATGGCCCAGGTGAGCCGCCAGGCGGCCCCAGCCCCGCCCCAGCCCCCACTTCCCCACCCCCCCTCTTGTCCGAAACCCCCTCCCGTGGCCCACTTCATGCTCCAGACCTTCCCCAGGTGGGGTGATACTTCCAGAGGCTGCAGGAAACCTCCGGGTTGGGTTGGCGGGCACAGAGCTGGACGTAGACACCCCCAATCCCGCTGTGGTCGGGCCTGCAGTAGGGTAGGGACTGAGGTGAGCCCGGGCCCAGCGAGGGTGGTTAGGGAATCCTTCCCGGAGAAGGCTTTGAGGGATGAATAGAAGTTCACCTGAGAGGCCAGGTTTGCCCTGGGATTGGGGGTGTGGTGGGGAGGGCTTCTGTCTGTCCTATGAATCTGTTTTCCCTGCTGAAAAACCCCAAACCAGACAAAAATGTTAAGTGCCACCCTAGACCCCAGACCCGAAGGTTGGACCCCAACTTGGAACCAGGGCTGGAGAGAGGAGGGTGGGGACAGTGCCCAGAGCCTGGTCCTGTCGGCCTTGACACTTTCCAGTCTCCCTGCTCCATTTCCACCAGTTCCCCTGGGATAAGTGGCCCCTCACTGGGTGTCATTCTTACCCAATGGGTTGATGGAAAAGTGGAATTCATGCGCCACCCACCATCCTGTAAGAACACGAACAAAACACAACCAAACCCAGAGTGTATTTTGCCACCAGGGCAAACCGCCTGCTCAACAGTTTTTTTGGAGGGGGACGGGATGAATGGTAAACCTTGTGGGGCCGCTGTGGGAACTCAACCCTGGATCTCAAACCTTGATGAGCCTCATCTGTAAAATGGGCTCAAGAAAGTCATCTCCCCAGAGGCGGCAGAAACGGTCCACCTAGGGAACGGAGGGGGTTTCTTTTCACAGCCGAGCCCAGAACCCACCACCTAAAGAGCAGCGGATGATTCGTTGTGATTTTTTCTTGTTGTTTTAAATCACCATCACCATCATCAAAGAGCCTTGCCCGGAGCTGGCAGAGTAGGTGCTCAGTTAGAGGCTCACTGGCCTTTTCACATTCTCCCGGGTTGGCACACACAGATTTGGGAGCGTTTAACGGCACAAAACGCGCCTTCGGGAACTGCCAACCAGAAGCGAAATCCAAAGCCGCTGTCTGCGATCCCTTCACTTTTCACTCTCTGTCTGCCCTTTTTTTTTTTTTTTTTTTTTAACTGAGCATCTATTATGTGCTAGGTGCTGTCCCAGCGCTCAGGGACGCAGCTGTGAATGAACAGAAACGGGGATGGCGGGGAGCAGGGGAGAAACTGCCTTCACAGACCTTAGATGGCAGGATGTGTGGAAGGAGAGACAGAAAACAGAAATATCTGTCCCAGCTGCCAGAGGAGGAGGAAAATGGGCTTGGTGATTGTGACGTTAGGTTCTTTGAATGCTGGGTTTGTTGGCCTCTGAACTCTGGCCTTTGTGGGATCTTTTCTTTTGAAAAAGATGGGAGCCCTTGGCTTCCTAGATCCCAGCCTGGCCAGGGCAAGGCGGGTGGAGCCGGGTGGGGAGGCGGTGTCCACCTGTGCGGCCCCTAACGCCCGTCCCTTCTCCCCCAGGTGAGGGGCCTTCCCATCCCAGGAGGGTTTTCCGCTTCCAACCGGTCCAGGACTTTTCATAAATTACAACCGTTCTTTGGACACCAGCCCTTTCTACCCCTCACCCCCGCCCCCCTCTACTGGAGGCCGCCCGGAGTGGGGAGGGGGCTTTGTGGTCTGTCCTGGGGCAGAGGTGGGGCTGGGGAGAGGCTCCTGAATTGAGGACAGCAGCGTTCACACACCCCCTGCTTTGGGAAACGCCCTTGCTTCTTCCCCACCTAACTCGGTGACTTCCCCAAATTAAATCACCACCTTTCCTATATATATATGCATATATATATAGATCTATAGACGGTATATATATTTTTTTGAGTACGGATCATGGGACCAAACTTTTCCGACTTCCTTCCATCCGAGTCGAGTGACCCTGGGCTGGTCACTCAGCAGGGACACAGGAAGGGCTGAGGTTGGTGGGACCCCGGGCAACAGACAGGTGCCCCTCCCCCCCACCTCCCGGCTGTCACATCCCACCAGGAAACCCGCCAACACAATATACCTCCAGGACTTTTGGCAGCCCTTCCCCCTCCGCCACTGATTCTCCAGGGCCCTTGAACTCTGATAGCTTCGGCGTCCCTGGTCCCAGCTACAGCCTCCAGGCCCCACCTCGCCCCTTCCTCCCAGAGCCCTGCCTTCCCGGATAGGTCAAGGTACAACAGAGACACTCTGGCCGGCCTCAGCCCTTCTCCGCTCCCTTCCCTGAGTCATAGCCTTACTCATGTGACCAGTAGCCCTTAGCTTTCCGTCGGAGGGGGGGCAGACAGGGTTGGGGGGAGGCTCCCCCTGCCCCTCACCACCCCCTCCCAAGGCCAGGCAGCCATCGTCCCTGCCTTCGAATCACCAGCCTCGAATTTAAGGTCTTGTAACCCGGATTGCCAAGCGTAGCGGAAGACCCCCCCCTGGACTGACCAAGCACCCCTTTCACCGGAGATGACGGACTTGATAATGACCTTCATACCTCTACAGAGATTTTTTTTTTTCTTTTTTTTTTTTCCGGTCTTTCTGAGCAGGTACAAAGAAGAAAAGAGAAGAAAAAAAAAAATGGGGGAAAAAAAAAAAAACAAACCGCAATGAATTTTTGTTTCCTCATTGGGAGTGGGGTGGGGGGGACTTTGTGGGGTGCCTCTGTACAGCTGCCTGATCCGCGACACCCACGTCAAAGCACAGAATCAAGTTCGCTTGGACATCCAGCGAGGCCTCTCACCCAATGAGGCGCCAGATAACTTCATAAGCTCAAAGGCAAAAAAAAAAAAAAAAAAAAA